GTCAGTTTCGTTATACGTTCGTCTTTTGTAGGACATACGAAGAGAACCCAGAAGAAGCGATTAATCAGTGCCATATACTACTGGAAGAACCGGATCTTGAAACAGCTGTGCGAGTTGGAGATGTTTATGGGGTCATCATAGAACACTACGCAAGGCAGCAAAATTACTCCAAAGTAAGTTTTAGACCGAGAACTGTATGCGTAGGGTTTTTAAAGTTAAGTTTCAAATCAAGTTATTGGCTGTGGCAATGGACCAACGCTCTTCTCTTGACGATGTCGTAAAACCCAATCATTTCTCCAGCACATTTGCGTTATGTCATCTTTCCCAGGGCGAGTTTGTCTCGCGGGCATTATCTTGTTGAAACTGGTAGCCTTAGGTATGCAACTGTTTTAGTTTTCTGTAATTAGTCACCTAGGAAATGGCCTTTCGTTTTAAGGAATTTGATGTCAGCTTTGTTTGTTTTCGTATTTTTATTCCATTCATATATACTAGTTTTCGTACAGAGCGCAATTAATTGAGTCCACAAGATTCGAGGACGAAAACGCGATTTAACTTTGTTTTTCGCGTGTTCACAAAAAATCGACAACCCGGAAAGCTTAATTGCCGGACTTTTTTCACCAGAAAAGTTAGCACGGTTATTTTTATTGAATGAGGTTTAAAAGCCCTCTCCCGCGCGCAAAATAATAAAACGTCTAACATTTGATAACTTCCTTCCGTCGCTACAACATTCTTGCTAAAACCCGTAGTCGAATGACGACGGCTGTCACGTTTTGCCGCCAAAATGACGCTGGTTCGCGCGTGCGCACTCGTCCTCGTAGTCCTCAGTCCTCGTCTTAGTATAGAATCTAAAGCTCTCTAATGCTTAAGACGCGCTAACAATATGCCATTCACATGGAAAGCACATTTTACAGTTTTTCTTACTCTGGCAAATTTTTCCATTCTTCAGGCGTATTCCATTATGGAGGAAATGAGGCGCAGAGTACCCAACGTTAACATGGCGTACTACGTGAACATGAAGACAATAGAGGCCACTCACAAGGCTGTGGGCGTGCCCTTGGGGAGGGGTATGGGCGCCGAACGAGAGATCCGGGGGGAGCTAGACGAGGATGAAGGAGAGGAGGTGGAGGAAGAGGTTGAAGAAGAAATGATGAATGGACATGATGATTATTAGCTACCAGGACGCAACAAGTGGAGGTAGAGAACTGGAAACTAATGAAAGTCAAACTGGCTTTGGTTAGTTTTTACTGACTCAGTTCCAATGCCACGCTAGGCGAGAAGAGAGAGACTGGAAACTATACAAATCAGCGTGGCAAATGTAATGGAAAATGTTATTGAGTTAACAGGACTGGACTGCTGGGGAGAGATAATGACCGGAAACTAGTAAAAATACACTGAAGTGATTGTTACTTATACAGGACAAGTAAGGAGAGTAGCGAATGGCGGGAGGACGCTAGAATGAAAAGAGGTTAAAGATATTAAAAGGACATTTTAAAAGTAGAATTTGATTTGCTAACGAATTAACAGGACCAGAACAGAGTAAAACAGCGAAAAGTATTCTTTTTAAAACTTTAAAAAGGACAATTTAAGAGAGCTGGGCTGAAAATCAGAGCAAGTCACAGAAATTCGGCTGGTGGTTACTTGGAGTACGGACAGAATACAACATCTTCTGCAATAAATGGCGATAAGAGGACAGTAAAAAGACTTTGCTGATCACTTTGCAACTTACCAAATTGTGCAAATCCTGCTGGCTGAAGCATTGATAAGTACCCTCCTCTTCAGGGGCAGTCGTCATTCTATGTTAAGAAAAAAATTCCATCGAAAGAAAGTTCATAAAATAATGTAACGTGGTAAAATGAGTTTCTAGTGAATAGCTAGATGTTTGGACGGTTAAAACGAACTTAATTTATTATGCATATACGTGAGAGTTACATCCCATTGGCACTCACGGTACGAAAAAACCGGCAGAACACAGCAAAACGAGTTGAATAACGATGTTGCGCCTTATACCACACATATAAAACCTGTCGTGCAACAAATCAAGTTGTTAACAGGTTTGAACATTGGTGGTAAAACGCGAAGTTTTTCTTAACTTGCAGCAATGTTGAAAAACAAGTTGCACGTTTTTTGTTGCCCGTTTTTCGGTACCTTAACCGTCTTGGGCGCGGCACCTATTGATGCATAGAATGTAAATCTGCGTAGACGTAGTTTGTTGTAGAACCCATAACGCTGTATTTCTACGTGGCGTTTCTCATACATACTGGTTGGGTTACTATGAATCGTTTCTTTTTTTAAAAAAAAGTTTAAGTTGCAGCGAGTTTCAGTTTCTCAAATTATTTGAACCGTCTTCGTGAATTAGGACAGACAGATATCAACGAAGGTGAAATCTGGAAAGTGTCTTTTTTAGTGTACATTCGGTGTAAATACTGGTATTATATTCACTTTCAATGTACTTACAAATGCTCGGTTTCTTCCATACTGTTGTATTTATTCGTCATCAACACGTTTGTTTAAAGTATCTTGTAAATATGTTTTAAGTTGAGTATGAAATAAATAATGCCTTTATGGTGTGCTTTCCTAAGAATAATCTATATTTGCTTTCGCCATGACCGCTGAATAAATGTACTGGATTTCCACTGTCGAGTAATTTTTCCGTGCGCCTTACGAACGTAAATTTTACGCGCGCAAATGAAATAATTGAAGCAATGCATGAAAGGTAGCACTTAAACGTGAAAGTTAAGCGATGTTCAACTTTTACGTGTTCGCGCGATTTACTATACTTTGCCTCTATGTTATTTATGCGCGTAAAAATTACCTTCGCACGGACGGAAGAATTACGCGACAGTGGAAATCCACCCTTGGCCTCCATTTGAAGTGAATATATTTACAAATTTCAGAGAGAAGAAGACCTGTTAACAACTCTGTCTAGCGGTAATTTGCAATTGTTGAAAAGAAAAGGGCTAATGAAGCCAGACTTGTATACTTCCACAAGATGAGTAGGGAGCTTAAGTTGTAAAAACGAGGACAGACACGATAACTTCAGAGAAGCCTCTTGGTCTAATGAGCAAATCAATAACTGCACGTGCATCACACCGTCCAATAGACCTTTGTCACGCAGCGGTCATTTTGTCCCAAGAGATTAAAAATGCTTTGCATTTTCATGGCCACCTCGTTCTCACTGCGAGGCTAACCGTGTAAAAACAAAGCTTCTTTAATCTTCAAGGAAAAAATTGGCCGCGTGACAAAGGTCTTTTCACGTTTTATGAAGGACGTGTAAACGGGTCACCAGAACTTAAGTGTGTTCTAGGGAATTCAACTCCAGGTGGGTCTCCACATTTGTCAAAGTGAGTAAGTTGCCTAACCACGATGAAGATTAAAAGAACGGGAATTCACTGTTTTTGTAAAGCAATGTTCTCGGCACCGTTGTAAGACGTCTTGTAACCTAATCCAAACAACAAGCCGCAAAGCTGTCGTAAACTGGCCATTAATTGAGCCTAGCTTAGAAAAAAAGGTAGCGACAAACCCAAGTTCAGGTAAGTGAAATTTATTCTAACATTTACGCGGTTATTTTTAAGTTTTGACAACTACATTGAAATTCTCATAATTTTTCGTAATATGCAAAACATTACCAAAACATGCTGTAATTTATGTACAGAGCTTGGGCTGCCTGTGAGTTGCCTATATGGCCTGTATTGGTTACCAACGAGAGGGCATTGTTACCGCCTAAACATTCCTTGGTCTATTTTAACGAGAGACGAATGTCAAATCTTGACCGAATATCGGTAGTTTTACCCCCTTGGCAAAAGTAAAGGAGTCAAATGTGTTCACTGCTTTGTGTGTGCACTAGAGAGGTGGAAGTTGGGGTGAGGGGGCAGAGGGGGGGGCGGGTGGTGGTCGGGGCAGACGTATGTCTAGTCTGATTTTTGCTGAGGAGGACAACACTTTCTACCTCAGTATTGTAATTTGTTGTACTATGATCTCAAGTCAGTTTTAAGCTTCGATTCATCTTTTTGTCGTTCTTCGCCCACCCTTCGAACAGTCTCCTTTCGCACTCTTGATTGAGAAGGAGAAAAGGAGGTTCTATCTGAATAGCGACAATAGAGAGCTTTAGATTCTAAGACGAGTACGACTACGAGTACGAGATTTTCTCAATATTAAGTAGTGCGCGCGTGAACCAGCGTCATTAGGGACTTTAAGATCCAACGACGCGGACGACAACGAGAACGTCAAAAAAAACAATAGGTTTAATTAGCAAAACCGCAATTTCGCACGTGCATCACACTTTTTTGTACATTTCTTTCCCGTTTTTGCACGACTGCGACGTGAAAATGCCTAATTTCGCGTTTTATGGAGGACGTAAACAAGCAACGACGAAATTTTATTTCTCTTTTTGAGCTTGGCTATGGTCCCTTGAAATTCAGCTTCAGAAGGGTTCGCCTGCAATTGACAAAGTTGGTGGGTAGGAATAATCGCTATAAAGACTGAAAGAAAGCAAATTCACTTTTTAAGCGACGTTCTTGTCGCCGTCGCGTCGTTGGATCTTAAAGTCCCTATTTTGGCTGGAAAACGTGGTAGCCGTCGTCACTCTACTACGAATTTTAGCCAGAATGTCGAAGTGGGGAAAACGAGTATCAAATGTTTGAAGTCTTCATATCATTTTGCGATCGAGAGAGCGCGTAACCTCCTTCACTAAAGGTAACAGTGCTTACTTTTCTAGTGAAAAATGGTAAAATAAAGCTTTCCGGGGAGTCTATATTTTGAGAATACGCGAAAAAACTTTAAGTCAAATTTCTTACTCGTAGTCGTTCTCGTCCTTGAATCTAAAGGTCTCTACTAGTCAAGCCTTTGAAGTCACCGAAGCCAGAAACTCTGGACTAGTCAATCCTGTTCTCTGTCGTCAAACTGGTTTTCCGTGTGCGAGCATCCGTTTATTGATAAACCGATGGTCATAACTGAGCCCGCAATACCAGGCGCATAGCTTTTAGACCTGGGTTCGAAAGTAAAAAACAAGTACTAAGTAATCTACTCGTAAGCATCACCAACCGTGGATAAAGGGGCAAAGCGACAAATTATACTATATCTTATATTTATTTGAAATCAATGAAAATATAGTAATCAGTGTGTCTGCTGACCGATTACGGTACGTCGACTAAGGAAGACACTTGCAGGTTTCAGGAGAGCATCGACAGGCACGCGATAACCAAGACCCAGGGACCATTGAGCTTGTTACTAGTTTTACTTACACTTGTATGTTCTTTGGTTTATTAAGCAAGTAACTTCAATGTATTTCATAAGTATCTCCGCTCAAGTTAGACTGTTCAAAGTCCCCTATTTTTCCGTAAGATCGAGATCGAGCGCTTTGCATTATGAGCCGCCATCTTGGATTAGAGTCGAAACCACTTAGGGGGCGCGGGGGGCGGTTTTGGGCTCCCCCTAACGCAAAGCGCTCGATCTCGACTAGTCTGCAGTGCAGGCGTTTTCTTTCAGCGCGCAATTTGCTCACGAAAGCGTCATGTTGAAACTTTCCGAAGAGAGAAGGAAATGGGGCGAGTCCAAGGGAGCGGGGAGGCGGGGAGGGGTTGTGGAGAGAAAAGGGAAAACGCCAACCTCGTCCCCAGGGCTTTTCCCTTAAAAACGCCTGCCCGAAAACACTGTGAAAACGAGAAACCCCCCCTAATTAGACGCGCGTGACCACCCTTCCGGAAATGAGTAGCCGACAATAACAAAACAACCAAACAGTCGCTCCAGTCCGAAGCCTCGCATTGTGAGGTTATCATTGTTTTTATCTTGACTGAGTCACGAAGCAATTCTCCACAGCTGATGAAGTTTCAGTTTAAGCTGCAATTCATTCTTGTAAATCGCTATCCGTGAGAGTTCAACATCCAGCAAACAATTTAAAAAACTAACGAGCTGGGCCCAGCGTGATACAACATTGCAGGAAAACATCACATTCTCGGACTAGAAAGATAATCGCTTAGTTATTAGGATCCTGAAGCTCTTTGGACAAACATAAAGAACCTAACAGCCTTATTTAGCGACAAAAAAGAGCTTTACGCTTCAAAAGAGGTCAAAGAAAACGCTCTTGTATCAGAGGGCAAATCATGAAGACCAGAAATTCAAAAACCACAGAAAATCAATAAGCGTGTCATGACACAAAAAAACAAGCAAGTGTGAAACAAGCGGCTAAAATCACATTTGCTCAGTTAAAACATAGAACCCTCTAGAGCATAATCTACTCCCCAGGTAAAAAAAACGTATTGGAACAAGAAGCATTTTAGCATGAGGTAAAAGTGGTGTAGGTTTTAGTACTGGGAGCAAATCTTGTCCTGATGACCAGAGTAGAAATCTCGTTGACTTTCTCATTGCGTAATACATGCGACATTCCCAGCCGCTCCAATTCCAAACGGAATAAACAATATAGACTAACAGTTAATTGACATGCATCAATCTATCTACTTCCCTATGCCGCACCAATCAGGAGCTCCGTTTGCCAGCGTAAGAGGTTCCCAAAAGAACAATGATATCGGGCAGGCGTAGTTTTTTTCTCCCCTCCCCCTCCCCCCTAAGGGTTCAGGGCGGAAAAACGTTCTGCGCAAGCTTCTGCGCATCCCTTATCACAGGCTCACGGCGGGCTTTTCTGTGTGTTGACTGGCGGTGAATGGCGGTGTCGACTGTGTTTGTTTGTGAAATGCACGAGGTGCGAACGTTTGCTCCTTGTAGAAGTCTGTAAAGCCTTTTTATTCGTTTTTTGTTGTTGTTCTTGTTGGTTTTTCGTCACTTGAAAATTACTTTGGATTCAGAACAACCAATGTTAAAGGAAGAACGGATCATTCCGTCAGTCTGAGGTGGAAAAAACGTTTTGAACATTTTCAAAGAGGCGAGTATTTTTCTGATAATTGTGCATTCGAGTTGTGAGTTGATTTTCGCCTTCTATCGCCGGGCTGAATTTTTAAATTTACCTTCACGTTGCAGAACCAGCTTTATCCCTGTTTTCAGTCAAAGAACCATATCGCTAACGCATGCGAGTGAACTGAAACTTGTGCGCTTGAAACTTTCTCGGAAATAGAAGGTCAAACTTACTCGAGAGGAAAAGAGTACTTCGACCCTTTTTCTGTTGCTCCAATAATAATAGTCAGAGGTTTCTTTTTCTTTTTTTTCATTTTTTATTTAATAATTTTGTTTTCAGTCTTTCTGTACGTAAATTTTCCTTTTCACTCGCTGTGAAGTACAGAGCGACAACTGCCGGCAGTGACTTCCAAGTGACTTTCTTTGCCCGTAAACAATTGCTGGAGCTGGATCTGACTGAAGACAGCAAAGCAAACCCTTATGTGCAGTTTTCTGTATATGCCTAATGATCTGGTGAGTTTAATTTGCTGAATGAAGACCCTCGCTTGGACCAGTTATTAAAAATGGCTAAATGGTGAATCATAGCTTGGCTGCGAAGCTTGCAACTGTTCTTTTGCTTTTAAGATCTTTAGGTAGGTTGTTTCGTACAGAAAATTC